CAGCAGAATGAGACATTATACGCCGCTTCTATTGCGTTGGTATCCACGTTGACAAGCGCAAGAAAACTATCAACGCACTCATAGCATAACAGCCCGTCCATTTCTGCATCACCTACGTATGGCTGAAAGGCACAATTTACAAAATAATTTTTGTTATCTATGTCCCCACGCTGAATGAGGAAGACGATGAAAAGAAATTTATGATGGCCTACAATCAGTTGTGTACATTTCCATTGAGAAACAGGCCATTAGAGGGTGAGCACATGTCACGTCCACAAACAGTTTGCCTCGTGTATCAAAACTAACGACGACGATGAGATTGTTCAATATAGAAGACTGATAGGATAGTTCTGATCAACAGCAGGTTTAAAAATCCGCAAATACACATACAGACATAAGTTTCGAAGACGGGAGGGCCGCCACAAAGAGAAAACCACAGGAATCTTTTCCCAAGATTCTGGGTCGGGGATTCAGAGTTAGGCAGACAGTAGCCTTCCAGGTTGAACTGATGAAGACTGTTCGTCGACAAAATTTTGAGTAACAGGGTCAAGAAACTTCGTGCATAAGGGTTTATTCCCGGCTGAGTTGTCCGACTAACACACTATTCGCCCGCACCACTAGACAGGGGTTACGGAGCATTTTGATTTCTGTGGAGGCCGTTTTATGAATCTTTACACAAAAATATAAAATTTTAGCAAATTTTTGTGGAAATCTTGGCCATAGATGGATACCCGATGGTCATCATGATTACTTGTTCGGGATTCTGTCCCCTATCACTTTGGTGCACGAAAATCATCACAAGGCGGCCGTGACAAGCCAACTTGGTTCACGCCTCAGTGTCGTGTCATCATCTAGAATCGAGTTATTTGAGAAGACAGTCTGTATACTTAAACTAATGTTTTGGCATCCTGATAACACTGCAGCAATGGCATACCATTGCTAGTCCGCGACTGTTAATTCGTTAGTCGTGAGATTCCCCCAATTTTATCAACTGGTATGCAGCTTTTCGAATTCCTTACTCACCCTACAGGAAGCCGTCTGGCCTACTTCAACTACGGAGTGTCGGGAGAGTAGAAAGTCCTGTGAATTATGGGCGCGAACACGCGCAAGTAGACTAGAAAGTGAATTGATGAAAAAAATGCTATCAAAAAGATCGATAAAGGCCTATCGATCTATTTGATACTTCTTTTTACTTTAGCGATGGGTGCTATTCAATTGGATAACACCAATCGCTAGAGTAATGTTAATGTCTCTCTCGCAAATGGTATCGCTGTGGAGTTCAGAAACATAATTATATTATTTGTGATGCAGTTTAGCAATATCTGGACCTGACGCTGCAGCATTAAAGCCGGCTTACGTCCGAGGATTTCGTTTATTTGCTGGTGGACACGGGTAAGTCATCATGACAGGAGGGTGCCATTTACGCACATTGGCAGTTGATGTACAATATCTTGAAAGGCAACAAATACATAAGAATTTGATGAACAATATCAATAACAGTGCCGTAAAGAACGTCGAAAACAAATAGAGAAATTCCCTATAGGCCTTTAGCACGTACGTCCACTGCCACAACACCAGTCCTCTCCTTAAGAGCTTGCAAAATACGATCAATACAGCTTTGGGAGCTTATTCCATGTATTGCTAAAACACATCCTGATATTCCTGTCATGGCCAGAGCAGTAAAAAATTTTAACGATCACAGCCACATTCATAAGTGTGCCCAAAACGGGACGGCTAATTTAATTGGTTAAGGTCCGAAAGCCAATGGCAATTCAAGCATAAAAACAAAACTTGCGTTGGTCTCTGAGAGGGGAATAGACAAATGTCACAGGTGTATGCATAAATTCACAACGGACGTTTATGCCCGTTTTTTACTTTATAAAAGATCACCGTTAGCGAGCTTTTGCATTCATTCTTTTTATAATCGTTTTCTCTCATGCTTCGATGAAACGCGCTGAGACTGGTACGAAATTCTCTGTAAATTAGTCATCAGCTTTTGCGAAACAAAACGTGTTTCTCTTTAAGTGAGTGAATATGAACGAACTCATGTTTGCCTTTGACCTTCTATGGGCATTTTGACCACCGAATATTTGAGTATCATATGTATGGCTCAAAGAGGCATATTCCGCGTCAAATAAAGGTACTCGTGTGTTTTACAAACGGTTGAATGAGTTCGTTTATTGTTTGAACGGCTATTTGTCATATCCGTAACCGATATCTTTAACTCTTTTAGCCGAAATTGAATCCATTTTCCATATGCTTTTCATGGCCCCAAAGTACATCATCGAAATATAGAACGCTTATTAGGAAGAGCTCCTTTCGAATACTGTAGCGACGACCAGCTGTCGTATGACTGTAAAACAGGCATAAAAATAGTTTTCAATATATCTTCATTAGCGGAAAATCCTGTATGCT